CAAAACAGGAAGAGAAAAATAAAACTACTGAGAAAATTGTCCAAGATTTGGTGGAGGAGAACTTCCCTGATATGATGAAAAATGAGGATATATCCATTGAGGAAGTCCAATGAACCCCAAACAGGATAGACCCCAAAAGAAAATCACCAAGACATATCATCATTAAACTCATCAAAACCAAAGACAAAGACAGAATCCTGAAAGCAGCACAGGAAAAACAAAAAGTTACTTACCAAAGTCAGCCAGGAAGAATAAGCTCTGATTTCTCAGCAGAGACCATGCAAGTGAGAAGGCAGTGGGATGGTATATATAAAATCCTGAAAGAGGAAAATTTTCAACCAAGAATTATATACCCAGCAAAATTGTCCCTCCAATATGATGGTGAAATTAGGAGATTTCCAGATAAGCAGAAACTAAGGGAAATTGTTAAAACCAGACCAACCTTACAAGAGATACTAAAGGAAATCCTTTGAACAGAGAACCAAAAATAGCAAATAACAACCGACCATTAATAAGATGACATAACCAAAGTAAAATAAGCTTACAAGATTCTAAACAGGGAACCAGGGACTTCAATTGGCAAATGAGGACAACTACAAACCAAAAAGAGAGAAAATGCAGTGTAGCTACAGAACTTATAATGGTGAGGAAGTCAAGAGAGTTGCAAGATAGAATGGACTATTCCAAACTCGGGGAGAAAACTATAAATCACAGGGTAACCAAAGAAAAATGATAAACCTTCACATCACAATATAAAAGAGGACAAGCACAAATAACAGCAACAAAGGAAATGATAACATGATTCATAAACTTAGTAAGCTCAGCACAGAAAATAATATGGAACAAAACAACCAGGGACACCATGAAAAAACACATAACAAACTGACAGCAACCGATTCGTATTTGTCAGTAATTACGCTGAATGTTAATGGATTAAATGCACCACTCAAGAGACAGAGAGTTGCAGATTGGATAAGAAAACAAAACCCATCAATACACTGTCTACAAGAGACACACCTTAGAGACAAAGACAAAAATAGAGTAAAAAATCAAAGGTTGCAAAAAGATATATTAAGCAAATGGCAACCATAAAAGATCAGGAGTGACAATACTAATTTCTGATCAAATTGACTTTAAGACAAAAACCACCATACAAGACAAGGAAGGACATTATATAATGATTAAAGGATCAATTGAACAAGAAGATATAACCATAATAAATACCTATGGACCCAATGAAAGAGCC